AGCGCCGCTGCTGCTGCACCCCGCTGTCGGAAGGACGTAAAACACACGCACATTACTGGTGGATAGATCTGGTAGCGCCGCTGCTGCTGCACCCCGCTGTCAGAGGGATGTAAGACACACGCACGCCACTGGTGGATAGATCTGGTAGCGCCGCTGCTGCTGCACCCCGCTGTCAGAGGGATGTAAAACACACGCACGTTACTGGTGGATAGATCTGGTAGCGCCGCTGCTGCTGCACCCCGCTGTCGGAAGGATGTAAAATACACGCACGTTACTGGTGGATGGATCTGGTAGCGCCGCTGCTGCTGCACCCCACTGTCAGAGGGATGTAAAACACACGCACGTTACCGGTGGATAGATCTGGCAGCGCCGCTGCTGCCAATCGTGCAGGATACGATTGTTTCTCCAAGTGACTCAGAGGGGCTGACCAGACAAAGTGAGGACTTTTTGCTCAGTTCCTGTATAATTTTCTTTTCACCCGATTTTGATTTGCGTCTTGAAACATTGATGGTGTTTTCCGCACGAGTGCGGAACATTCGTGAACAGCGCTGATGTGGAAAAAACCGACACGACGGTTTGCCAATACTGGGGGAAACACTGCATGTTCTTGATCCACTTATTTAGTCGTGCATACATATATATATATATATATATATATATATATATATATATATATATATATATATATATATTAACATAACGGAAGAGGCAAGCACCCCCGGCGATCGTCATGTGTGCACACCCACGATGAGGAGTTTGAACTTGGCTTACACTCTGGAAAAAGCAACGAGCTGATCTCGGGTTAACGGTCATGACAGATCCAAGTTTTATCCATCGCCTGGGCCTCCGCCCAGCTGTCAAAACTGGCTTCTGTAGCAAATTGTCCATGTTTTACAGACGTGTGAAACGTGCCAGGGTGAGCGATTGGCTGTCAGAGGATGATGACGTTGCCCATCAGGCATCTGACCTCGTCCCGCTGGCGCAGAGGCGGTCGTCAGTCGCTTGCCATCAGGCGTCATCAGGCAGTTATCAGTTGCAGGCACCCGGTCGTCAGTCAGTCAATCAGTTCAGTCAGTCAGTCAGTTCAGTCAGTCAGGTCAGTTGTCAGCGTTCAGTTGTCAGTCCCCAGCAATCAGTCATCCGTCGCCATGGTTAGCAGCAATCCATTATCGCCTCATTAGCAGCAAGATCTGCTTTTTGCTGTCAACAGTAGGTTATGAAGAGGTGACTGTCGCCGTCATCTTGGACCGGTCTCAGCTGAAAGCTCCGCCGGCTGGGAGTTGGTGGTGGTCAGCCGTCAGTGGGCATGTGCCAGACGTCCGTAGCCTTTGATTAGGAAGGCGCCAGATATCACTGACCGTGGATCGGTAGACGGCATTAGTCATTAGGCAATAGCCACTGGACAGGAGGCAGACGTGTCAAGTATCAGTGACCAGCTATCAGCCGGCAGGCACGCGTCGTCAGAAGGCGGTGGTCATCGGTCGGGAGGCAAACGTGCGCGGTTAGTCAGCATCAGGCAGTGGCAAGTTGGGATGCAGGCGCCTCGCGTCTTTCGTTGGTCGGCAGTCCTCAGTAGTCCGGCCAACCCTGACCGTCATGCTCAGACGGCCAGTAAACAAAAACAGTCTGCGGGTAGCGTTACAGGCTGCGCCTCGCCGGCCGGCTGCAGAGCGCTCCGGCCTTGGCCGCTATCTCTGGTGATCGCGGCCGCCTGGTGCTGGCGCTCCGCCGACGTGCAGCGGTCGCGGACGGTGGCGCTGGCCGAACCGTGTCGCTGTCCGCCGCCGCGCCTGCAGGGCAGCGCCCCTCGGTCCGCCCGGCGCGCCGCGCCTCGGGCGCCGTCCCTGGGGAGCCCGAGTGGCGGCCGACAGAGGGCGACGGCGCCGTCCCGACTGCCTGCGGAATGTCGGCGTTGGGCCCACGCCGGGGGCCACCTCCGGTCCCGAGGAGCCGCCGGCGGTCATGGGGGTCCGCCCCGCCATCGGTCCCAGGGGTCCGCCGCCGGTCCCGAGGATTCGCCGCCGGTCCGCCGGTGCAGAGGGTTCGCCGCCGGTCCAGAGGGTTTGCCGCCGGTCCAGAGGGTTCGCCGCCGATCACGAGGGTTCGCCGCCGGTTCCGAAGGACCGTCGGGACGGCCGCCGGTTGCGTGACCTCGCTAGATGAGCCCGGTCGAGGGCCGTCCGTCCCTGCCGGCCACATGCCGCCGGCCGCGTGGTCGACACCATGGGCTGAGTCGACCCCGCGTCACCGGTCGGTCGGCTGACGCGGCGGGTTGAACAGATACGCCGTCTGCTGAACATCCAGGGTCAGGACGCCGAGGTGGGCACGTGAAAGCATGTGGGCTATGAATTATAGCGCTATTGCTGAGGTTTAAAAATTCAGGCACGAAGACTTGTCGATCGTTTTTTGGGAGAGAGCTTTCCAAAAAGGCAATGCCCAGAAAACCGAAGCTCAAATGGAATTGGGAAGCCTTTTCACTTTTTTGGACAGGTTGTTACTTTTTTTAGAAACTCAGCATGAAATATTCTGTTTAGATAAAGGAGGCTGTGTGTGGTTACATGTGGTTACATCAGAATAAGATATCCGGTAGCAATATCTAGGCAAGTCACAAGATGACGTGCATTCATTAGAGATGCTCTAGTTAGGCTGGTAGTTATGCCGCGCAGATAATCAGGGTGTAAATACCGCGTTAGTGAGGTGATTGATGGTGGGAAATTACCACTCTAATTCTTCACAACTTCGTTAGAGTGGTTTCGTAACTTTGTATTTAGTTGGTATGTGCAGTGGCGTCTAATTTGCAGAATGAAATAGAACGTTATCCATTCAGGCCACCGGAAGCATTGCAGAGTAAAAGCTAGAGGAAAGGCTCGGGTCGACTCTGTGCAGCCCGAGCTGAGCTGGTCGGTTTGTCTGTCGCCTGCCGTCACGGCATGTCCCTCAGTTCTGGCACGACTCATCATAAATGGGACGAATTTCATCAGAATACAGTAAGGCGCTCTTACAGTACTCATTCTCCACCATGCGCACGTAAGGCGGTTGCATGCTTGTTTCCGGGCCCGCTATTTCGTGGCCACATTTCGATCGGGAAACAGCTGGGCCCTTTGAACTCAGGTCATTCAAACCAGCACTTATTCAATCACTGGTGCCATGGAGGTTTGTGGGCTTGCTTGCGTGACCGAAGGTGATTAGCGTTACGGTATGATTGATTTCGTTGCATGCTAGTGCTGTCGTTTGATATCTGTGCTGGGATAGTTCGCTTTGTACCCTTCTGTCGCTCCAACCCACGGCATCCCATTCGCCCGTGTTTCCCAGTTCGGTGCAGAATGTAACATGCAGTGAGGTCCACTTCTTGCGACAAGGAAAGGTAATGTAGTTCTTTGACATGCTTGCATCCATGTTAACAAACGGCAGAAAAAAGCTACACGTTTCACTGTTTGCAACACCCGGAGCTGTAAGTTACATCAGCGTAAACCATTGGAAAAACCTTTGTTTTTATTCCACATCCGAACATATTTGTTCAGTGCCACATGGTGTAAAAACATCCATGAAACAAAATGATGCTTAACACATAGTACAACGCAACTGAATATACTGTAACATGACACAAAAATAAGCAAAAGTTGTATTCTAAAGGACTGCTCACGTTTTTTTCTTCTTTTTTTTTTTTTTGCTTCGTTTTAAGCTTGTGCGCCGGACCACACATGGGCCTCCTTGCCACGTAAAGAACGGCCCGAGCCGGGTCCTGGCTCAGTGTCCACGGATTGGGACTGGGCCGAGTCCTGGCTCAATGTCCATGGATTCGGGCCGGGATGGGCCCTGGCTCAATGTCCATGGACTCGGGCCGGGTCGGATCCTGGCTCAATGTCCATGGATTCGGGCCGGGATGGACCCTGGCTCAATGTCCAAGGATTCGGGCCGGGTCGGGTTCTGGCTCAGTGTCCATGGACTCGGGCCGGGTCGGGTCCTGGCTCAGTGTCGATGGACTCGGGGCCGGGTCCTGGCTCAATGTCCATGGACTCGGGCCGGGTCGGGTCCTGGCTTAATGTCCATGGACTCGGGCCGGGTCGGGTCCTGGCTCAATGTCCATGGACCCGGGCCGGGTCGGGGTGATATGTTTGATGAGCCCGTGACGAGCACTGCTCTGAGGCTCGGCCTGCTGTTGTTGCTTGATGCCTGTGTAAATGTTTGTTGCGGTGATGGCGCCTGGCGTTGTGCTGCGCGCTGTGCCGCTGGCCGGACCGCCGGACATTGCACGGCCAGGGCTCACGACCGCAGCCTCACCCGATGACCCGGACCCTCTCCCGAGCCGCGTCATCGTGGCCTGCAGACGGCGCCGGCCGTCTGGGCTCCGGGACGTCACGCCCCCCCCCCCCCCCCCCCCGCCACTGCGGGGCGCGCCCCGGCGGCACCCACCGGTGCCAAAACAGGGCGCGCGGCCGCCGGCCTTGAATGGCAAACAGGCATATTCGTTTCGAGGCGTCGTCGTGCGTTATTGATGCCATTAAAGCGTCACGGATACGAATTCGCTTGCCTGGTGAGATAAACCTGCAGCAGTTAACCAGCCGGGGAGTCGACCGAGCTATGCAAGGTCGCGAGTCCGGGGCAACTAGTTCTGGTTCCGGTTCTTGTCCCGGTCTTATCTTGTTTTGGGATCTTATCCTGGCTTCTGTTAGGCCCTGACCTCGACCTCAGTGCCAGACCCAGTCTGGGTCGGATCTTGTGCCAGTTTCGTGCTGCTCCTGGTCCTGGTCACGGCTCCTTTCGGTCCTGATCCTAATCTTACTTTTGGGTCTGGTCTCAAACCTGGGCTGGGCCGGTTCCTGTTCCAGGGCAGACGGAGCCCGTGTCGTCACGGGATGGCTGTCCCCGAGGCCGCCTGATATTGATCACATCGGGAGCTGCGGGCGATCCTGGTCTGGCTGGTTTCTTATGACACGGACTACCTTTCAGGAGCGGTGGCTGTGGGTTGTGCGACCGACTGACCTTGGCCTGCGTTCCAGGAGCGGCGGCGGGTGAGCTGTGCGCCGCCAATAGCTCGTGCTGCTCCCTGCCGTGGGAGCACGGCATACGGCATGTCGTGCAGGACGAGTTCCGCAAGATGCTGCTGGAGAACACGGAACATCTGAAGCGGCTACTGCAGGAGCAGGCCATCGCCGTACAAGGTGAGTCGAACGTCCACAGTGTGAAGCAAGTCACTGACGGCCTCAATCGAAGGTCGCAAGACACACTGGCAGCCGAGGAGAACGACGGTGACTGTTCTCAGTAGGCAACGGGTGCATAGCTAACGGGTTCGGATTGACGTCTTGTTCGAAGTTGCTGATGGAGGAGAGCTTTGGCAGGCTTGTGACAAGACGGTGCGAAGATAGATAGGGAAGTGACGATATCATTTTGTAGATTAGCTTCGTGCATAATGTCATTTACCCCAGCGTATCATTTAACGTCTTAGAGTAGCATATTCCTTCAGTTAGTGGTTCCCGATCCCTCAGGCAGTGGTCCCAATGTTCTCCTATCAGTGGTCCCCATGTCCTCCCATCAGTGGTCTTCACCTCATGTCGTCAGTAGTACCCACGTCCTTCCTGCGTGTATTTTCAGTGCACATTTCCTGCAGACACAGTGCAGTCCGTGTATTGAAATATCCAGAGCTATCTGTTGCACGTCGAGTTGGCGAGATCGGACGCATTGGTTCCGGAGAAAGATAGGGGAAGATCGAGGAACTCGTGCGTGGTTAGATGCCCTGACAATGCCGGGATATGCGAATGTCACGGTGACGTGCGTGTTCGCTGGTTTGGAAATAAATCAACAGCTTTGCGCGAAACAAATGAAAATTGGACAACTTGTTCACAGCTTCAGGCGTTTCGAAATATCCACTGGGTGATGAGCGTCTGTCGTGGACGGCACTGGTCAGTGATCAGTGCCCAATCACCGGCGACAAGCTAATCTCGCGGGACCTCTGCGCTGCACCTGTCGTTCTCAGGCGCATCTCTGCAGGAAACACATTTCTATCCGTCGAGGATGTCTATGTCGGATCGTGAACAAATCATGGTGGCGAAAAGCTACCCCGAGAGTTTCAGTTGATACGTTATCTCTGAAATAAACCGTCAGCAAAAATTGTGAACGATCTTTCAGTCATCAATTAGCTGTCCAAACAGAAAAGCATTGGCATCTGGTTGACAAAGGCACAAGTTGGTCAATGGGGACTATTTTCAAGATTTCCGTGAGGCCTTTTGAGTGATATTCGAGGAAGAAGCAAAGCACCCTAGGCTTTTTTATGCGGATATCATCAGATTATTATCATATTTTTCCTTTAAAAAATTGGTATGGAAAAGGAGTGCGACAATAACAATAGTCACATGAGCCGACTCATGTTGACATCAAATTGTTAAGATTGCTGCTTGATGCTCTATCCTGTTTTGTTTCGGTCTCCTGGTAGTCGCAGGAGTATGACACACCGTCCATGGAACTCGCCTCGTTTGATTTTTTTTTTTGTATTTGTGAGTCTAGCTGTTTAACGACGCACTGAGTCATCGACGTACCGCAGACAGACAGTGAAACAGACTGACTATGCTGCTGCGAAGCTTGAAGTGCACCTGGACGCCGGGCTGCATGGCATAGCCTCGCTGTTTATGACTGCGCCACCCGAAAGCTGGTCCTTGTTTATCACGCGCTAGCATAGATTGTTGTTTTGACCGAAATCGCCCCGAACTGTTGACGTTTCTTGTTACCTCTTTTTATCTTTTTGCCACCACAATCGGCCTTTGGTAAAATATCAACTGGTGATTCCCCTGGGCGATTCATCAATGGGATGTCGCCTGATAGAGTCATACGAAGGTTTGATCTAACATTGCATTATGTGATTTGACAAAAGCTGCTTGATCAAATTTAATGAACTCTCCGACCTCTGACATGATATGGGGCTTGTCGAGACTCAAGCTCGAAGTATAGGTAAGACAAACTTTTATGAATGCTTGCACCGGTGGAAGAGGTGTGACACTGTTTACTTGGAAGTTACCATAATTCGGTAAAAAATCACAATTCTCAGGAGCATTAGCCCTAGCATGACAAGGAGCTTGGGAGTTGTTTTCGGTAATCTCTCGTGAATCGCTTAAAAGTGTATGGTCCGCAGGTAAGTCAGAATGCTTGGACGCAAGCGCTCAGTAAAAATTGTGGTGACACTACCTGTGGCGGATCCTTTCTTTTTCGAGGTCATCCAAATCGCTGTTTTGCAGTGAAGATCAGATAAGGCACGTTTGTCGTGGAATGTGTATTGTTAACACTGGTCACTGTCATGTACCGATTTATCCATTGTGTACAATCAGATTAAGTCAGGTGACCCAAAATCAAGCCAGGCTAAATGTGCCAAATTGAAAATTAGTTAGGGAATTTTGCTTAGCTTAGCATGCTGTTATATATATTTATATATATATATATATATATATATATATATATATATATATATATATGACATAATATCTGGTAATTATGTGTTTCTTCGATTATAACTCCAGGTCTCGCACCAATCGTGTGCCGTCTCCGAAAAAAACAAAGTGTGTCTATATTCTGCGACGTTCTTTTAGTTTTACTAACATCATTAGACATAGGCGCAGTGAAAACAATACGAGGAAAGCAGTTACAAGGTACATTCGACTTGCGTCGGTCCAGGATAATATTTCAAGAGCTTGTAGGGAGTTAGGACAATTGAATTTCAAATTATATACATCCACGAACACTGCATGAGTGGCACCTCTGATATGGGAGGTTACCACATCACACCCGGTGCCATAGGCTGACCATCACACGATGAGGGCGTACCCCTCATACTTATTTATATTTTGATGGGAGGATTTTTGTCTCTCATGTACACGGCTTCAAGTGCCTTGAGTTTCCACTGCTGTGAACACTGGGCTAAGACAGCGGTGATGCCTATCATCACTTCTCTCGTGAGCCCAGCGTTGTGACTTCTATGAATGTGCCGCTTTTGCGCACCGTTGCGGAGTATCTTGAAGAGGCATTGGCATGCGTCGTGACAGGGAAGGTGTCGTGTTACCAATGCATATCGAATTTGATCGGCGCGCGCATTCATATAACAGGCCATGAAACTTGTGCCATGAAATTATATATATATATATATATATATATATATATATATATATATATATATATATATATGATGGACTCCTCCACATCTGCTGCAGGTCGACAGGCGTTATCCAGCTTTGTTTTGCTCGTTATTATGCCATGTTTATCTCTCCAGTGAGGCGGGGCTATGCATATGGGGCTTGGCGAGCATGACCCAGTTCGACACGTCGCAGTCACCGCCCACTGATGTCATTCTATTGGTGTATGACTCGGTATACTCCGGGCTATACCACCACCCCTCCCCCTTCCTTACCTGACACGAAAAGCGCAGAGTTTAGGGACAGAAGTATAGTTTGAATTCGCCACTGGGCTCTAATCTTGTTCAACTGACCTAGCTCGACAAATCGAACGCACGCCGTTCACGCTGTTCACGCACGGCGTTCGGTTGCAAGCTGTTCAATGGCATGAGTCTGGTTTCTTTTACGGGAACTATTCGATGTCACTTTTCACCTGGCCCTCGTGAGCTCGTCAGCCATTGCATGGTGCTCAATAGCTGGGAGCTTGCGAGCCCACGCGATGCTCGGCAGCCTGTGAGGCCGCCTCCTCCGACCTCCCTCGGCGCAAGTGAGAAAAACGCCGTCTGGTGCCGACTAACAAAGAGTGGCGCCGGAGTAAAGACTGGAGGTGAGAACCGCGGGGGTCCAGAGGTTCAAGGTGTCTAGAGTATACACCCAGGCCGCGCTGATGGTAAATTATCGGAATCTGGAGAGAGTCAAGACCTGAGCCCCGGGACCTCCAGCCCTGGTGCCGGGGTTGACAGAGAGGCCTGCAGGTTAAAGCGTGGTTGTTTAATGGAACCGTTGGCTGAGTGCCGTCCGAGATGTTATGCTGAGCGCGGTGCCAGACTTGGAGAGGCCCTTCACCCGGCCTCGGACAGGTCGTCGCGTTTCACGAGCTCAGTTGGCAGTGATGCCGACTTCCACGTAGGAACCGAGCCTTTGATTCCCCGCAAAGCCTACGACGGTCACTGGGCGCTAAGGGGACCCCGTCGGCGTCCGCCGCCGCTCCACGAGCGAGCTGTCCGTCGACCGACGACAGGCACCCTGGAAAAAAGAGAGGCGTCCCACTGGAATGCACTGTGTAATGACGCCCACAGTCAACCAAATGAGGTGTTTTTTGGAAGTGCCTCTTTACCATAGGAATATCCGTGGAATAGATCAAATCGAGCGTCGTCTGGCCGTGGTTGCGTGGCTCCCCTCTCAGCTATCAAGTGCGACACGCTGCGGTTACCATGGTAACAGAGGCGGCGTCTGCCTCTGGCGCAGTACGCTGTGCCTGCTGTCGCTCGAGCCGGCACCGGCCGCTGTTTACTGCTGGCCTGATACGGTGTGTACGTTGACGTCAGCCTACCCGGCGCCGCCTCCTCTCGAGCCCCGCACAGCACGCCAGCACGGCCCTCCGTCAGAGCCGGTCCAGTTCAGGCCGGCGGCACCGCCAGTGCGTCAGATAAGGCGAGGGCATGACGAGGGCAAAAACTCTCATTAGCTGAACGGGGCAGTGATGGCGACGACACGATACCGGTGCGCTCCTGGCGCCATCTGAGGCGCCGGTTGACCGGCCAGCAGCCGGCGCCGTACGGCACGCCGCCGCTCACCGCAGCGCTCCGGCGGACAGGGCAAGCCAGTTCCCGCGCTAGAAAAAACGACCTGTTAAGGTCATGTAAAGAAGATCAGCTTGCAATGCGCTGAGCAGGACTGCCTGTCGTTGCGGATAGGACCTCGGACGACGCAAGCGGACCCTCTCATGGTGCGGACGACCCCGCGGTTCTCATGATGTCGACGGGATTTCCTAATGATGCAGACAGCAGCTCCTAATGGTGCAAACATGGCGTCTTCTGCTGGTACAGATAGGGCGTTCTGCTGTTGTCGGGCGGCCTGCGCGGGGGTCGACGGGCTGTTCCGTCCGCCTTTCAAGCCCGCCGAACCGACCTACAGTGCCCGGGCTCCGCTCCGCCTTCCTTCGTTCCGATTGTTTGCCGTGCCGGACGTGCGGAAGAGCGTGCGGGGAGGAGGGAGCGCACCGCCTCCATGTTCCGGCTCGGCCCCGGCCGCCCAGGTGGCCGATTGGCGGGCGGGCGGCTGGCGCGCTCACACGCCGTGACCGCACACGACGTGCCGCGTTGTGCCCGACGGCGCGGCGGCGCTCGGCGGCGCAGTATCAGCCGTCTCTCCGGGCGCGTCGGCCGCCAGCTGCCCACTATCGGGTAACTTTCTGCCTGCCGAAAAGGAATGTGATCACAGCGCTGAATAGAGCCGCACACAAAGCGGTGGGTTGTGTGGAATATGGAGATGGTGACAGGAAAGGATTAAGCCTTCTCAAAACGGCTCGTTTGAATGAATGGAAACCGCTGAGAGCGCGCGGCAGCTCTCACAGAAATGCGATTACAGGGATACGACTGCATTTGTCACTGCCATATGTAACGGACGCTATCAGCATGACTCCCCGATATGTGGAAAAGAGTACGGGGTGAGCGCTGAGTTCAAAACGTTATGAAAGTTATCATATCACAATGTAAGTGGGCACGTAGAACTGTTCACGCCCTCCTGCACATCTGGAAGCAAATCAGTGGACCTCGTGCTGTCGGCTGTTACCGCTGGCTCATGCGGTTCCGATGCGCCGCTGACAGCGGCCATGTTTGAGCGCGACTCCTGGTCAGCTGGTGAGCAGCTGGTGAACGGCTGGTGTCGCGCTCGTCAGCTGGTGACTCCTCCCTCAGATGCGCGCCGTTGGCCGATAGGGCACGGCCACGGGAAAGGGGTACATGTGGGGGTAGATGCTCTATCGCGCCTTTGTCTCGCACGATGAACATCGACAATATTTTGCTTCCCTTCGGACTGGGGCTGGGCGATAATGCTATGCATTCGATCAGTGGATTTCATATTCAGGCAATACCAACAGCGGCTCCCCGGAGCCCGTATTATGCCTGGCGCAGTGTGTCAACACGGCCTGATGGAGGGCCTCTGAGTGGGTCCGTGTAGCGGGCGCGGCCCCCGCCGCTGTCGGTGCCGGGCTGGGACGGCGGACGCCGCTGATCAATGCCACATTGTGTCGCGGCCGACGCAGCCGTCCCAGCTGGCCCCCGCTAAGGGGCCGATGGCGTGCCGCTAAACGCCCGCCGGTCAGTGGCAGGTAACTGAGCCGCTGCCGAGCGCACGCGCGGGCTCCTCCCACGGCACTGGCCGCTCACCCCAGTCTCACGGGCGCGTCGAACTGAGCAGAAGACCAGGCGTGTAATATGGATGCTCTGAATTCGCTAATAGATGGAGAGCCGTTCTCGCTTGACTCCGTGGTGCTGTTGGACCAACGCCTCCCCGGTACTGAGCAAACACAATCGAGGATCTTGGAAATGCACTCGGATCCGGATCTTGAGTAAGGGTCCAAGATCTTCTAGCATTCAAGTTTCATTGTAAAATTGTCTTAAGGGATTCTTGGAAGCTTTGGAATCCGGAACAATTTTTACCGGCATGTCCTCCAGGATCCACAACACTTGTCATAAGTTTGGCAATCTCTGTGATAATCTTTGCGATACCTCCCCCGACGTCGAGCTTTTAAAGCCCTGAACCTAGTGGTTAGGACTAGTGTCCATAAACTGACGTCAGAAGGCTGGACTTTTCCATGGCAGACAGTTGGGTCATATGGCCGTTTGATGTAGGACAGGTCTGAAGAGCATAAATGGGGTCATCTTTCCTCATCAACTAGATGGTCTTTTGGAATCCGCCAACATTCTTTTTTCAAGGATCCTGGTTTATTTGGAAGTGCTGTTACGCATGGCCTGAGGGAATCGACCTCACCTGTGCGCGGGTAGGCGGTGACCTTGTCAGGCTCTGGGGCTTGGGCGGCACTACCTATGAGGTAAAGGGAAACCTTCCGAGCATCTTGAAGGCTATGGTGTAAATTTTAAACCAATCTCTAGATCCACTTTTGATTTGTCTAAACTACCTGGGATGCCCAGCGATGTCCAGGTAGTGAAGGACGGCATATCGCAAAGGAACGATTTGAGATAGTTGTATTCAGTTTTATGATCAAGAACTGGGCTGATTTGTGTCATGGGTATTTGTATGTGTACCTCCACTTAATAGTGAAACACGTTCCAACGAAACTGCCGGTCGCGTATAATTTACCGAGGCCATAAGGTGAACACAGTCTCAAAAATATCACATCACCTGACGTTCAGCTTCAAAGAGTAAACGTTAAAATACAGCTTGGAGAAGTTACACACCAGTCTAAGGTAACCCTGTAATAATCTCTCACTCGAAACAGGTTGCGCCACCCTACTGAACCATGTTTTCACCAGCTGACCAGTCAGTAAG